GACGTCGGCGCCTCTGTCAAACAGCATCTTGACCACCTGCTCCTCGCCTTCAACTGAAGCTGCCTGCAGTGCGTTGCCGTACTCTCCACCCTGCGAGTTGACGTCGGCGCCTCTGTCAAGCAACAGTCTTGTAATCCTATTCAGGCCTAACTGTGCTGCATAGTACAGTGGCGTAGCTATGCTTTCTAGACTCTTGCTTAATTGCGGCTGTCGCCATGAATTGTCTGGATCCCACAACTGGATCCATGAGAGATATGCGGGGTTGTCGGCTGACATCAAACTCATCGCTAGCACACTTCCTTCTGCCTCGTCCCCTGCTTTTCGAAGATGGCTGCTCCAGAACTCTGCTGCGTACCTTGCAAGTGCTGATGTCTCCAGAGTCTCTTGTGATAAGGGTTGCTGGAACTGGTTCAGGTACAATAAACAACCCCTTGTTAACACGTTGTTGCATTCAACCTCCTGTATGCTGTACTGCTTTGCCTCTCCTTGCTTGATCCTGTCTGACACGAGATACTCTTGGACCGAATAGTGTGCTAGGGCGATGATTTGCTGGACAGGCAGCAGCCCTTCCTCTGCTTTGTTTGTGGTGATAGTGACTAGACTTGAGCAGATGTTCAGCGCTTCTAGCGGGTCTTCTAGCACCTCATCACGGTTGAACGCTGCGTTGCGCGCCGTATCGATAGCAACAACTTCAGCGATTTCTTCAACAGAGAGTGGCCGCGCAGAGAATGCCAGCCATTGAAGGATGCGCATTGCGTAATCGTAGTCGTCTTTGCTTATAGCAGTGAGAATGCGGTCGTATGTCTGGTCAAGCGTTTGCGGCAAAGTGGCCAGCGACTTGCGCAGCATCGCTCGATTGCGACACTTTGCTAACGTGTCAAGCTGACATACAGCCCATCGGAACCTACGCTATTATCAGCTTTAGCTATGTAGGTAGCTTGGTGAATACACATACATCCCACGAGCTCCGTGCATCAAAGCATCTTTGATCTCTTGTCTTACAGCAGCGTCCTTGTTCCATTTTGCTAAACTCTTATCGTCAGATATCCTTTGCTGAACATATCGCTCTATGTCCCTGTCCACTACGTCCCTTTGAAGACAGACAGTGTCCTCTTGCTTGACGTAAATCTCTAAAATGCTCTCAATACCTTGCTCTTTCCGGCTGGTCATGAGCAGATGAACCTCGTCAAGCTGCCACTTGATTACTGTCTTAAGTACGTCCATCAGCTCTGTGCGCTGAGTGCATTCGTCGAGCGCATCTAGAACAATGTAGGCATGCGTGAACTGTTGAATTACCTGCGGCGTTACATCCAGAAGTGCATCTAGTGACGGCTTTCGTTGCCCGTTGTTGCAAGCTGAGAACAACGCATCAACGCCCTTGGGTATCGTGACCGAACGCTGCACGAGTTGGCAGAGCAACGAGCGGAGCATTAGCTCTGGATCCTGCTTTTGTTTATCGTTGAAGTCGAAGTAGAAGTAAGCTGTGACCATGCTAGCGTTAGCATGGCAGTGCTGCAGCAGATGCTCAATGATGGTAGAGCTTAGGATGGTCTTTCCACAACCTGGGATCCCATACAGCCACAGTCGCGACGCAGCACTCTCCTTCCATTTGGCGAATTTTGCGCCTTTTAGTAGCCAGAGTCCAGTCTCAGCCTGCCGCTGCTTGTGCGCTTTGTGGTAGTTGGTGGATGGGTCAGGCGCCAAAAGCCAGCTGCCAATCTCGCCAAGCCTCTTTTTGTAGGCATCTGCAGTGTCCACAGCACCCTCCTGTATCTCCTTCTTCAATCGTTTCAATGCCTTCTCTCTACCCTCGCCGTAGATCAAGGGCATTTGAATGTCGAATATGCCTAGCAGACAATATGCGCCATCTTCTGGACGTGTCGTCTGGCGACGGTCTGCCCAAGAGAACCGCTCAGTTTCACTGTACTCGGACATTTGCCTTCCTGAAAAAGCATCGAGGGGTATTCCTGTGAACTTGTGGATGATATGTCCAAGCGAGTCCTTGTTCCCTAGCCGCGCTCCTTCTTTAGAGAAGAACTCGACTGATTTGGGAGCCAGGAGCTCCTGGAGCGTCCATCCCCGGGTGAACCATTTGCTTCCCTTGGAAGCCAACTCACCCTCGCTATCTAAGCCGTTGTACTTAACGTCCGACAGGTAGACGTAACACTTCTTTGCGTTCTGATACCAGCGAAACATGGAGTTAATCGCTTCTGATAGCTCTGTGTTGTTCGACTTGTCAATGCAGCATGTGTCTACCCAGAAGTGGTCCAAACCGTCGCGCTTAGCTTGCTGAGCGCAGAAAAAAAGCTTTTGGTATCCTCCCTTAAGCTTTGGATCAACGTCCTTCATGTCTCTGCATTTCTTGAGATCCTTGTAGGCCACCTCCTGCCCGTCCCAAGTGTGTGACAGGATGGCATAGGGGGGGATCTTGTCGCCGTACATATCATCAGTCCAGCTGAGCCGCCCATCTTTTTCAGTACATAGCAGTCGCATAGGTTCGTGTGTAGGTTATTTGCACGTGGGGTAGAAGCGGGTCTAAGAGGGGCTTCGAAGTAGGCTAGAGAAATCGACTAGGCAGGGCCGCTCGCTCGTGGACGCAAATATCGTCGAATGTAGCTGTCGGGCTTGTTGTAAGTGCTAAGCAGTAGCTTACTAGACCAGTTGTAAAGGAAGCAATCTTCGTGTGCTGCAGGCTGTTTGTTGAGGCAGGCTGCGTTTTGATCACCCAGGTGGGAGGCGCAGCCTGCCTGCCATGTGACGCGAGGATGGCCAAGCAAGCCTCACAAGACGTGATCGCGCGATCCTGCGTTGATACAAAGCAGCTCCCATCCGAGGGTGCGATTCAGTCATGCAGAAAGTGCGATATACAGGCCTATGTTATAAACAACATTGGACGTTCCTGTAGCGTGCTGGTTGTGCAAGGACGCGCTGGCCTTGGGGACTCTGTGTCACTCTCTCGCTGCAGGCCGGCGAGCACGCAATGACAGTCGTCACCGTCTCTGCAACCCGTCTCGGGCGAGGCGTTCAGCTAAGGCTAGCATGTGGTTCCAGCATGCACAATAAAATGTGCGCAGCACACTGTTGATAGCTCTTCTCGGACGTAAAAGACAGCCAACAACAACATGCGCCACATCTTACTAAGCAACTGCACAAGGTAGGCATAGCGCTTGGTTCATTACGCCAGAATACGCGGATACGCTAATGCAGACCAAGCTCTGTTAGCGTGTCTTGCTAGCCCAGGTCTTGCTGCAGTGTTGTCCTCTCTACTCTTTTGGAGCTTTTGGCGAGCTCACTTCTACGATCAGATGATTTTTAAAGCGTGGGAGCACAGTCTTTGCTAACTGCTCACCTTCCTAAGGCCTCTAATATTTAGTGAGAGTCTTAATGTCGCGAGTAGACAGGGGGGTGTTGCTAAGGGGCTATTCGAAGCCGTTGACGAAACGATCGACACCATGCACTGAAGAGATTCTCGTCGGAGCTAGTTGGTATCAAGGATGATTAGTTGATCAACACCGTGTATGAACATTAGCTCTACAGATTCGCATATCAGAGGTGCTGAAGTTTCGAATCGCCAACCTGTCTCGCGACAAAGTGTGTCTCTTCACTTAGGGAGACACCTTTTAGCACTTACCGCTCAAGCGCAGCCCCCTTGCGGGCTCCCTTATATCGCTCTTATGAGTATCCGACACAATCTCATCTCCGTACCTCATTCCCGTCCATCTTTGTCTTGCACTGGCAGTCCTCCCAAGGTGAGGTCAAGAAAAGCGCTTAGCGCTACACTAGCGAGCCAATCACACACCCCTAACGCCGCAACATTTCTTCTCACCCGCGCCCCGCGCCCCGTCGACAGCGCTCTGCGGGCATCGAATCATGCCCGCACCAGATTGAGCGCGCAACGCTGCGATACTCGTAATCACCTGAGCACACAAGTCGGTAATCGCCATGCCGACGTACCTTGTGCGCTTGGCGCAGGCGCACGAGTCCTTCCGCACGGCGGAGCTGCGCGCGCTCGCTGAGCTGGCGGGGGTGGAACTGCAGATGGAACGGTATGAGGATGATGTGTGTACACCTCCCCGAGCGTTGTTTACTCGTTGCTAGCTCACTGCGTTTTGCATAAACAGCCTCTTTGTTCGATTTTCTCAAATTCTTCACGTTGTCGTTGTTGTTGCTGGCTAACGCGCGTAGTCGCCGTACTGCATCGTCACCCTCCCCTCGGACGCCGCCGCTCGAACCCTCGCCGCCCGCGCCGTGCTGGTGCAAGCCATCTACGCCCTCTGGGGCCAGGGCGACACATACGACGCGCTGCGGTCCGACGTGCGACAGTCTTCATCCGCGGAATGGGCCGCGTACGAACACGCCTCGTTCAGCTTCCGCATTGAGCGGTACCGCGGTGTGCAGGCGGCGCCCGAGCACATCCGCGCCATCATCGAGTCGTTTTCGTTCCTGGGGTTCAAGGGGCGCGTGCAGATCAAAGACGCCGAGGCGCGGTTCCGCATCTTCGAGGAGTACGCGCTCGACGCGCGCGTGCCCGCGCGACTGTATCTGGGGCGGTGGATCGCCGACTCCGGGCGCAGCGCGCGGCACGCGTACGACCTCAAGAAGCGGCACTACATCAGCACGACGTCCATGGACGCGGAGCTCGCGCTGGTGACGGCCAACATCGCGCTCGCGGCGGGGGGCAAGCTGTTCTACGACCCGTTCATGGGCGCCGCGGGGTTTCCGCTGGCGTGCGCGCACTTTGGCGCCGTGGTGACGGGGTCCGATATCGATGGGCGCAGCATCCGCGGGCTGGGCGGCAGCGCGCGCCGCGGACAGACGGGGCCCAAGAACGTCGCTATGAACTTCGACCAGTACGGCACCGCGGCGCAGTACCTCGGCGGCTTCGTGGCGGACCTGACAAACTCGCCGCTCCGTGTCGCGTCCCAGACTCCGTGGCTCGACGGGATCGTGTGCGACCCGCCCTACGGCATCCGCGAGGGTCTGAAGGTGCTCGGTCCACGAACACCACTCCTCGCATCACAGCTATCGACGCACGCCGCGCAGAGCCAGGCGGAGGGCTACGTGCCGCCGAAGCGCCCGTACTCGTTTACAGCGCTGCAGCACGACATCCTGGCTTTCGCGGCCGCGACTTTGGTCCCGGGGGGGCGGCTGAGCATGTGGGTCCCGACCGCCAACGACGAGGACGTCGAGCTCGTCATACCGTCGCATCCCTGCCTGGAGCTGCACAGCGTGTGCACGCAGCCGTTCAACAAGTGGAGCCGACGACTGCTCACGTACCGCCGGCGAGCCGCGGGTGAGGTCGACGCCGACGCACTTGGGCGGGAGGAGAGGGAACCGGGGCAGGAGAAGGCGCACGAGACGGGCACGCGGGCCAGCGACCTCAACGACTTCCGGCGCAAGTACTTTGAGGGCTTCCGCGAGTTCGAGGACATGAAGAAGGAGTTTATCCGCATGAAAGCCGCCGATGCGGCTGCGGCTGTGGCCCAGGACGAGGTGGTGGAGTCGACGTCGCAGCAGGCGTGACGGGGGCGTCAGCGAGCGAGGGGAGAGGGGGGGATACGTATCACGCGTCTGAAAGCGACAGTCTGTGCAAGGGATTTGTATTACAGCCAGCCAGACAGCCACGCATCATGTATCCAAACAACCGCCTATGGCCAGAAAAGAAGTTCCGTGCGATTACATGCCTGGTCGTGTGTCCGGCGTGCCGTCGAGCTGCTCCGGTGCCGCGGCGGCTAGATCTAGAAGCGGTGTTTCTTCATCATCGTCCGGCTCGGGGGCGCTGGCCGGGTCGGCGACGAGATGCTCGACGGGCAGGGCATCGGGCGGCGGGAGCGCGACGGCGTTCATCTCCGAACCGGACGCGTCGTGGCCGGACTCATCATCTTCTGCGTGGCCGGACTCATCATCCTCTGCGTGGCCGGACTCATCATCCTCTGTGTGGCGGGACTCATCATCCTCTGCGTCGCCGACATAATCAAACGTCCGTCTCGCCGACCCCCCAGACTCATTCCCCACCCCATTCGCTCGTCCTGCATCCCTCCGTCCCCCCAGTCCGCGAACCGCCCTGCGCATACTCTCCAACCGCGCACGCTCAGTCACAACCATCCGCCGGGCCAGATCCCTAACAGCAGCGCGTCCCATCTCGACCCTGCGCTCGTGCCAGCTCGCCAACTCGCTCGCAACAACAGTCTGCGTGTACCTCAGCTCCCTCCCCAGATCAGCCAGCTCCGCAACGCAGCGGTCCATTTTCTCCTGCGCGTCGCGCTGCACGCGCGAGCGCGCGTCGTCCAGGAGGCCGAGCGGCCAGCGGTCGGAGCGCCGCACGGAGAGGTTGTGGCGGTCGATTGCCTTTTGCGTGGCGCCCATCTGGGCGATGAGCGAGGAGGGGCGGGCGAGCGAGGACAGGACGGCGGCGATGGTGGAGCTGATGGCGTGCATGTTGTAGTAAAAGGCCGCGATTGGGCTGGCTTCGCTGGCGGCGATGCATTTCGTGTAGCGCTGGAAGGCAGCGAGGTGTGCGCTGGGCAGGAAGGTCAGGGTGTGGACGGCTGTTGTTGCGAGCTTGGCTGCGTCGACGAGGTCGGATGTCACCATGCGCACTCTGTTGGTGCGCCGCAGCACGGATTTGGATGCGTGGTGCAGGGAGCGCACGTTTTCGCGCGCGTGCTGGACAAAGAGCTCGACTTCGCGCACGTCGTAGATGGGTGCGAATTCCTCGCGCAGCCGCTCGACGCGCAGCTCGGCTTTGCGGGCAGACCGCTGCGCGAGCATGGCCGAGTCAATGTCCGGGACGAGGAAGAACTCCCACACCATCTCGTGCATGGAGAAGGTGGGGTGGCGGAGGAGGATCTTGAGGAAGGCGTCGAGGCGGAGCTGGAGGTCGCGCAGCACCGACCGGGAGGGCCGGGATGGGATGAGGTAGGGCGAGGGCATGTTGGCGAGGACTGGGAGCCACGATGCGGGGTTCTCCTGCGCAAGCCACTTGGCCAGGTTCTCAAAATCGTGGGACGATCGGCGGCACGTAGTCACGGTGATGGTGCCGTTGGGGTTTGGCGCCCCGGATTTGAGCACCAGTCGCACAGTGCCGTCCTCGACAAAGAACGAGCGGACCACAGTGGTGATGCGCCCGTCGGCGCCTGGCTCGTTTGACAGCAGCACCAGATCGTCGATGCGGTTGCGCACCTCGTCATCTTTGGCGAGCTCGACGGCCGTCAAGCCACGAGCGTCTCGCACCGACAAGTCGACCCGTGGATCCTGGAACAAGACTCGCACCATGTCCGTCCTGCCGTACTTGCTGGCGACCATGAGCGGGGTGAATTGCTTGTCGTTGGTAGCGTTGGCGTCCGAGTCGCAGCGATACAGGAGCTTGTTCGCCAGCTGAGGGTCGGTGATGACGTGCAGCAGACTGTTGCCCTTGGCATCGACATGCTCATCCAGGTGCAGCGGCTGATTGTCTTCTTGCGCGGCGGTGGCGGCCAAGAGGGCCTGGTCCACCATGCTGTGGTACTCGTCGTGGTCGTATGATCTGCAGAGGGCAAAGACGGGCGTCTGTCCGTTGTTGTCTTTTAACCGCCACGGCACGACGTGTCCAATGCGTTGGATGAGGCGGGGCTGGTGGAACAGGTAGTGCGCCATGCACCTGCCTTTGGAGTCCTTTTTCGAGAAGTAGGCCGCGAGCGCCTCTGGGCTGGTGCTGTTTTCCAAAATGTATGCCAACAGCGTATCCGTCGACTTTGCGTGAGCGAGCTGGACTGCCACGCTGAGCAGCGTCGTTCCTTCGTTGTTGCAGTCATCAAACACAAAGGCGGGTGTGTAGTATTCCGTGAGGCTGAGCAGATAGTGCAGTGCTTTGTCCTGCTTGCTCTCAATGGCCATCATCAGCACAGAGTCGCCGTCTGTGCCTTGGGTCATCACAAGCTTCTCGATTGAAGTATCGCCTTCCATGGCGCTGTATCGAGAATCCACCGTCGTGCGCGATCTGAACGAGCGCGCCGAGCAACTCGACATGCTCCGTGTGTCGTACGAAACCGTCTTCTTCAGCTCCGGTCGGCCCGGCAGGGTGGGCGTCTGCGCGCGCTGAAAGGGAAAGATGTGCGCGAGCGGCCCGTCTTCGTTTGTCGACCGCCGACTGGATGGGCTGCGCCGGCGCCTCCTCCTCGGTTCGCAGTCGCCGTTCGCCGAGGAGCTGGCCAGCGAGTTGGGATTGGAGAAGCTTGCAAAGCGGACCGGGTGGTGTCGCTCCGGGACTTCGTCTTCGCTCGAAGAGTCGTTCATGGCTTCGTGGAAAGACCGGTCCGGCTCGAGGATGCGCTGCATGGTCGCCAGGTCGCCCGACTGCGTCGCCTCCCACAGTTTTCGGTTCCGCCGGCTCGCCTTTCGCAGGCCGCCCGAGTCGTGCTGCAGATAGGACAGCACGGCCTCGAAGGTGCTGAGTGCATAGCCCATCTCGCCCGTCTCGACGTCGTCTATGAAGATGAAGTGGCGCATGTAGGACAGGCGCGCCTGCAGGTGCCGCACCGGGGCTCGGATGACCACGACGAGCAGCAGCGACACCAGGGTATCGGCGTTGATGGTGAGGAGGTGGTCGGGCTTCTCCGAGAGCTGCGGTCCGTTCAGGGTGCCCTGGGCTGTGGGATCGTTTGCAACCAAAGACGCGTCGTGCCTTGTGGCGTGCTCTGTGTCGTGCTTTGTGTCGGGCACAGTGGCGTGCTTTGTGGCGTGCTTTGTGGCGTGCTCTGTGGCGTGCTTTGTGTCGGGCACAGTGGCGTGCTCTGTGTCGTGCCTTGTGTCGTGCTCTGTGGCGTGCTTTGTGTCGTGCTTCGTGTCGGGCATAGTGACGTGCTTCGTGACGGCCAGGACAATGTCGAGCATCTCCTGCGGACTCCCGGCGACGCCCATCTTCTTGAACATGTCGACCGCGCGGGCCAGGCGCACGGCGAGCTCCTGCTTGCCCTTGGACCCGTTGCCAATGTCGATGCCGACCTGCGAAATGTCAACGTCCTGCATGTGGCGCATGTGGCGCTCGAGGTCGACGTCGTCGAGACGGCGGATGTGGCAGATGCGGGGGAAGAGCAGCGTGTGGTGGACCTGCTCGGCCACGTACCGCTCGATCATGCGCTCGACGAGGGGCCCTGTGAGGTCTGTCGTGGCGCCCAGCAGCGACAGCTGCTGCTTGTCGACCATCTGGAAGAGGTCGATGGCGGCCGTGACAGCCGTCTCGAGCGAGTTGCGCATGGCGTCCTCGTCGTCGCCAATCTCCAGCGTCGAGACGAAGCCGCTCGGCGCCTGTGATGTGTTGCTGTGCATCGACAGGGGCCGCGACGTAGCGGTGTCGACCGACGACACGGAGCCGCGTCTCTGCGAGCTCTGCGACTGCGCGCTCTGCGACTGCAACCTCTGCGACTGCAACCTCTGCGACTGCGCGCTCTGCGACTGCGACGACCGCCGCGACGGCGTCGGCGTCGGGGGCAGCGGCTTCTCCAGCTCCTTGGCAAACTCCCGAAACAGCCTCTCCAAGCCGGGCTGCATCTGGCGCGCAATCATGGGAAAGTGGCCGAGCAGGTCGCCAAAGGACCTGACCTCCTTCTTGCGCGGCATCGCGGCGCCGCGGGCGGCGCCGCTCGCCGCGGCGGGCGGGGCGGCGGGCGCGACAGGGCGGGGCGACAGCAGGGCCGCGGCAACCATGGGCGTCGGCTCAAAGGTGCCAATCAGCGGGCGCGAGATGTAGTAGACGAGCCAGGGCTGGGCCTCGAACGCGTCCGGGTAGAAGACGGCGTCGGCGAGCAGCTGGGCCTGGTTGAGCGTCTTGAAGCCCTTGTTGCTGTAGACAAAGGCGTCCTTGACAATCACCGTGCGCCCGTTGGCCGTCGTGAACTGCTTCGCCTTGCCGCGCGTCTCGCGGAAGCTGCTGGCGTCGCGGACGTGGTTGTCGGGCCCGACGCCGCCCGGCACGCGCAGCACATGGCTGGCGAGAAACTCCTCGGAGCCGGCGAGGTCGGCGTACGGCGCGCCCGAGTCCTTGTCGCGCGCGCCGAGGAGCGCCTCGGTAGTGGGCACGAGCAGGACGTGGTGCTGTGGGGGCGCGCACTGGCTGGGGAGGGCACTGCGGAAGAAGGCGCGCAGGAAGGGATTCAGCACGGGAGGCATCCAAGCGACATCAACTGTGGGCAGCACCGAATGGGCATGCGAGGACCATCTGTCCGCGCGAGGGATGCGGACGGGCCGGCGCGGGTCGGGGTGCTTGGACGTGAGGACGTGAGTGGTGACGGCGACGGCGACGGCGACGGCGACGGCAAAGCTATGGCGCGGGAGGGAATGTGGATGCCGTCCTCTCCAACACGAAGCGAAGGCGTTGCAGGCAAACACGCACAGATAGCGACGGGCAGCAGTGGGCAGTGGGCAGTGAGCAGTGAGCACGGAACAAGAGCACCACTGAAAGATACCACATCAGCTTGCCATAGGCCCATCCCTGCGAATCCGCTACCGCTAGTTGGCCTAGTCGCCCGCGGATCATGACGGCAGCGCCCCGTCTCCCCCGGCCGCCGCACGCCCGCAGCACAACCCGCAGCACAACACGCCCGCCCGCGTTGAGCAGAGTGTCTGCGGGTCGGGATGGCTGGGATGAGGCGAGATGTGGACGAGACATGGACGAGACATGGACGAGACATGGAGGAGATATGGAGGAGACATGGACGCGGCATACTTTCAATGGACACGGCGAGAGATACTGGCGAGAGATACTGGCGATGCACAAGGCGAGAGATACTGGCGAGGGACAAGGCGAGAGATACTGGCGGGAGATACTGGCGGGAGATACTGGCGGGAGATACTGGCGAGAGATACTTTCAATGCACAAGGCGATGGAGATTTCCATGCACAAGGCGATGCAGACTTCAACGGACAAGGCGGGAGACACTTTCGATGCGCAAGGCGAGAGACACTGGCAATGGACAAGGCGAGAGATGCCGAGACACTGTCGATGAATACTGCCGTCGCATCACGCATGGAGCCATCCACCCCCTCACAAAATCCGAGAGCACAGAATCCGAGAGCACAAAATCCGAGAGCACACACGCGTTCGCATGGACAGGGACAGAACCACTACCACTTCTTCGACCCCTCGTTGAACCCGCCCCCGCTGCGCTCCCGCTCAAGCCGCTCGTCAAACTCGCGCTGCGCACTCTCCCGCTCCGTGTCCCGCGCGTCGCCGCCCGTCGCGCCCGTCGCGCCCCCAGCTGCCCCGTCCTGACGAGCTGCACCGCGCCTCAGACGCTCCCACGAAGACTCTCCGGGCCGGGAAGCGGACTGCGCTGGCTGAGCTGTGGCTTCCGAGTGGAAGAGACCGCCTGTCGGACTTGTGTCGTCGTCCAGCGGCGCCGACCAGGTCGGCGCCGCAGCACGCGCGGGCTGGTGCGACGGCGGACGTCGCGCGCGGGCGTCGACGGCGCGCTCGGGCTGTGGCTGGGGCTGCTCGTCCGCCGCGAAGTCGCCCCACGAGCTGCTCGTCTGCGCGCCCCACGGCTCGTTGCCAGACGTCGGGCTCATATCGTCGTCGTCGGGGTCGCCGGCGGCGGCAGTCGGCCGAGTCTGTCTGCTGCGCTCTCCGCGCCTCTCGCCAGACGGCGGCGGCGGCGGCGCCATGCCGCCCGTCCCCTCCTGTCGCCGGCGGGCCTCAAAGTCCTTCCTCCTTTCCTCGATGACGCGCCCGCGCTCTGCATTGCCGCGGTCGTCCCGCGCACTCGCCGCCTTGATGTCGCGCGCAAACTCCTCCAGCTTCGGATCGACACTCGTCTCATACGCCGCAATGGGCTGCGCAATCTGTCCCGAGTTAGCACCACGCCACGCCACACCACACCACACCCGTGCTCCAGTCTCTCACCAGCTGCCCGATGATATTCCCCATCTGCCCCGCAACCAGCGCATACAACCCGAACCGCCACGTCTGTCTCGCCAGACCCGCCGCGGGCCCTCGCAGCGGGCCAAACTTGTTCAGATCAACGCCCTCCATCTTCGGCTTGTAGAACGGATACTGGTACGTGTCCATTGTCGCATACCAGCGATACGCGCCCGCGCCCGCGCCCGCAGCAGCGTAGTACGACTTGCTCCGCTCGAGCTTGTAGATGTGGAACGCGAGCGCCTGCGCCTCCTCCGGGTGCAGCGTGCGCCCGAGCTTCTTCTCCGCAAACGAGAGCGTCGTGTTCGCTTTGAACCGGACTGCCGACGACGAGAAGCCGATCAGGGGCCCGAGGACCGGTATGGGTGACGGCATGTTGGATGCGTCGAAGCGCGAGCCGCTTGCGAGCGAGCGGGAGGGAGACGGAGAGGCATATGGGTCGCTGTCCGAGGCGTTGGGCGGCTCGCCGAAGCTGTCTGGAGCTTGGTTCTCCATGTCTTGCAGCACCATGGTGACCGGTTTGCGATTGTGGCGCTGGGCCGTCGTGGAGGAGCTGAGGTGGATGCGTCAAGTGCGTCAAGTGCGTCAAGTGCGTCACCGAGCTTGCAGAAGCCCCGAACCGCCGAGGTCCAGCCCAACAACTTGTCTCTGCTTGTCGATTTGTCTCTGCTTGTCAATTTGTCTCTGCAGCACAACTCGTCTGTGCTTGTCAACTTGTCTTTGCTTCTCAACTTGTCTCTGCAGCTCAACTTGTCTCTACTTCTCAACTTGTCTCTGCTTGTCGATTTGTCTCTGCTTCTCAACTTGTCTCTGCTTGTCAACTTGTCTCTGCTTGTCAACTTGTCTCTGCTTCACAACTTGTCTCTGCTTGTCAACTTGTCTCTGCTTGTCAATTTGTCTCTGCAGCACAACTCGTCTCTGCAGCACAACTTGTCTCTGCTTGTCAATTTGTCTCTGCTTCTCAACTTGTCTCT